TCCTTTTTCTTCCTTCATAAAAATGAACATAAAGATTAGATGATGATATCTTGGCAAGAGTCTAAGTTTGAGAGATTCTTGAAAATGTAGATGTTATGAAAATAGGTATATTATAGCGCTGATTGAGTGCTTACTTATACTTTTTAATTCAGTGAAGACTGACATTAATAACCTACAGATGGGAAGATAAATGGCATAGGAAAAGATACTTGCCTATTAAAACTACTACTTTTAAAATTACTTTGTGTATTTGAATCAAAGGTGAGTAGAGTAGCTGCTTGCCAATGACTTTAAACTTTCAGTTTAGGGAGTGTTTTTGCATTCCTTATTTTGTTTTTCTTATCTGTCAAATCAAGCACTCCTTAGCCTTTTATGTTTTTCATCTTTAATTCAGCAAATGTTAACTGAGCAGTTTCTGCATGTAAGGCATTGTGCTGCATGCTGGCAATATAGAGTTGTGAACAAGACAGATACAGTGGCTATTGCTATTAAGGATTCTCTGGAGAAACAAATGGATCATATATGGTTATACTGAAAGACATCTGTTATGAAGGACTGGTTCACACAGTTATGGAGGCTAAGAAGGCCTTTGATCTGTGGTCTAGGGAAACCAGGAACATGGACAGTGAGAAGTTTTATTTCCTTTTTATTCTATTCGGGCTTTCCACCTTGAAAAAGGTGATCTTAGACATTCAAATGCTAATCTTTTTGATTCAAATGCTGATCTCCAGAGACACCTTCACAGACACACCCCAAAATAATGGTTTACTGGTTTACAGGACTACCCAGCATCCCTTAGCCCAGTCAGGTTGACACATAAAATTAGCCATCACACCTGTTAAGTCAGTCCTCTGAACTGGAGGACCTACATTAAACAGATAACGTTTTTCTATTATTATTGTCCTAGTCATAGGAATGGAACATATTTGGGTGCTTTAATCTGAACTGCATACCTATGATAATTATACCGATTTATAGTTCTTAGAAGTCCTTAGGTCTCATAGTAATACTTAAAATAGTTTAGTCATTTCTGAGATATTTCTATTTTTATAAAGAGATTTTTCAGAGAAAAGAAACCTCTAGCTTTAAATCTCCACCTGTAATATAACACTTTTAATTGGTCCCCATGTCATTCATTCCTTCCCCTATTCCTGATTTCCATACTGCATACTAATGCCAAGGCCAACCCTAAAATATTGAGTTAATTATATTCCAGCCACACTTGACTGATAATTCCCCCCCAATTATTTATGGAACTTAAAGCTCTATGGCCTGGCATTCAAGTCTATAATATAACCCGAAACTGTCAGCCACCTTGACTCTTCCTCTCTTTCTATAGGTCTGTTCTTGCCCCTGCCTGGCACGTTCTTTTCTACCTTCGCTTTCAAAATACTGTGTCTCCTTCAGGATCTTACCCGTAACAGGTTATTTTCATAAGAGTTCTTTGGACAGATTTAGTTCCCATGATCTTTTGGTTTTCTGAATTCTGTTAACATTTTTGTTAGCCCCAGTGACTTGTGAATGTGTTATCTTTGTACTTTTTATGTGTCTTAATTTTTTAACTAGATTTAGTTTGGATATGGGTTTAGGGGAAAGAGGATGAGAACAGAGATGGACCTTGCCTCCTTCTCTTAGCATCTTCAGACCTTAAGGTGCCTTTTTTTTTTTTTTTTTTGTATGCTCTAAGTAATGACGATTTTATAAATTGTGAACTCATTCTTCAGCCTACTTCCTTGATTGGTCATGTAACACCCAAAGTCTAAAGGCATTGATTTGAAGCAAAGAAGTAGAAAATGAGACTTCTGTTACTTTTTTTTTTTTTACTTTTGCACATTAAATTACTTGATTCTTCTGCATGTCTCAAAACTATTAGGAAAAATATGGCCCAAATCAGAGTTGTTTTTTTTTTTTTTTAACTCAGGTGTTCGAGTACCTACATCATGCACATCACTTTATCACAGTGTAACTTAGTAGCAGCACATAAAAAATGTCTAAAAATAAGACCTGAGCTTCTAGGCTGAAAGCATCTAGAAAGTGGAGAATAGGAATGGGATTTCGGTGTTGGTATGTTTCAGATTGTCTGTAAACTTAAATGATCTCAGAATCCAGTTACCTAGGTTCTGTAAAGACTTAAAAAAATCCACTAATAATGTGGGATAGGCTACTTAAGGGAAATATCTTTGGCATCTGGGTATTAGGACATTGCCATTGAAAATAGAGAGTTGAAAACTCAGAATAGAAGTGGGAAACATGGAGATCAAGGTAGAAACTGAAAAAGTAGAATTTAAATAAGCAAAAGACTGTTCCTGGCTCCTAATCTGTGTGTGTTAATGTCTGGATGAGTTAGACAGGTGGAAAGCACAGATGGGGAGGATATGAGGTGATAGCTTTATAGGAAAAAAAGCTATATATTATTCCTTGAGACCAAAAGGAAGTATGAAAGTTAGAAACACCTGTCACTTTGGTTTAAAAAGTTATAGTACTATACCATTTCTAATTATTTTAGAAATGCATAGTTGCTCCATGGAGAAAAATGCCTTTGCAACATTTATATTTTAGCTATTTTTATGGACTCGATATTGAAAACAGTGGATATGTCTAATGCAATTAAGCAAGTATGGAGAAAAATGCCCAATAAAACTTGATTTTTATTTGTTTTCAAATTCATCTAATTCTCTCTGGTTTCTAATTGTTATGGGAGTGTGTTCTGTTAAATTAGGCTTACTTTGCAGATGATTTCTCAAAAAATGCTTTAATTTTCAATCATGTGTAATTGCATAAAGATATGAAGTATGAATTTTTGCCTTTTACATTTCAGTTTTGTATTTGGGCTTAGGTGGATGATTATAAAATTTGCTTATTTATTGTAGTTTTGTTAGTGAGCCATTGGTGCACATCTGCTGTGGAGATAAGATGTTGTCTTATGAAAGTTGATTTATGCTTTCTCTTTTGCCTTTGGCTTTTCGTGCCTTTCCACTCACTGCCTTAACCTTTCTGTATTTGGTGTTCTTTTATACAATCATTTCTTCAAAACCTAGATAATTAGTTTTATATTAAAAATATGCTATGACTCTTAGTAAATTTATAATGGCAAGGACTGATTTCGAAGTTCCTGGCAGTTCCCGGCAGGGATTTGCCTCCACAGTTAAGTAATGGAAGAGAAAAAAAGGAAAGGAAAATAGGAAAAAGAAAAGAAAAACATAACCAATTCACTTTGTTCATCATGTACCTTTTAATATTATTATTTATGTTGTATCCATCTTTTCCCATTTCACCACTGTGAGATTTTCTTTCAAATAAATGAAAAAATGTGAAGATTGTTGAATTCCTGTATGGAAAACAAAAGATAGAAGAGGGAAAAATTTAGCATCCTGTACAACAGGCCCTTGAATAACATTTTATTCAGCATTGTTTTATTATAACGTTGATAAGGTGCCTTAGGAACTTAACTCTTGTTTATATCAATTAGCCTATGGTAAAATTTATTTTGTTATATGTTGTTTTGCTTAATTCACTTAAAGTCACCAAACCTGTTGAAAATGTTAAGTGAGGACTTATTGTACACAGTTTTAGGTACAATAAAGACAGACCAACTCTGCCATTGGCACATCTATAATTCTCTAGGCTAATGGGCTCTAGAAGGTTAAGCAGAAACTCTTCCAATCAGGGTACATTTTTTTCTGCAAAGAGCATGTGATATGAATTTCTTTTTGTGTGTTTGATGGCAGTTATTCATGTATATGTTTGCAGAGTAGTTTTCAAGAGCAGTAGAAGCAGAAATATAGACAGGAACATGAACTTTTAAAGCCTATTCTGATCTTTTACTCTCAACACAAATTTTTAAGGAACATATTCATTGTACCAGGATATGAGATTATACCTATGTATTAGTTAACTTAGCGTTTTCTAGAAAATAGAATTATTAAAATATTAAATAACCATATTCTAGTTTTAGTCTTGATTTTCTCTTAAGTAATTGACATGTATCAACAAAATACATTAGAGCAAATTTTTTAAAAAAGAAATACCACTAAGTTCCCCACTAGACTGATACTTGTTAATACTTTTGACAGATGTTTTTAAGCCTCTTTTCTCCTTTTAGGCATTTAAAAAACAAACTTTCAAATAATGATAAATCTTGTTATCAGTTCTTTTATTAAAGAAATTACAGTATAGCTTTAAAATAAGTTGCTTTTTTGTTGATTTTTAAAAATGTTTTAAATACTCGTGTTTTTTCAAGAAGAATTTGTATCTAGATAAATTTGAAATAAAAATGGTAGTATTTATTTTTAGCGAAGTACTCTTACCAGAGTTATAGGCACATAGAAACTTGAAATCACTTACTGTAATGATTCTCAGTCATTGGGTTCTCTGAAATTAACAGTAGATATTCTTTGAGTTATTGGTGACAGAGTGTATAATTTATCCACAGTAATATAGCATGGGATATGAAAACACGATTCCTGTCAAAAGCAAATGTGATTTTTGTGGTAATACTGGTTATTTAATCTGAAACTAAGCAAAAATGTACTGTAAAAAAAACAAGTAACTATTGATTAAATACAACTTGGTGGGGAATGGGACAGGAGACAAGACATGTAATAATAAAAGGGATCTTTACTTTCTGAAATGTTTTGGAATGGCTGATATACAGTCTTCTTCATTTCTTCAGTTAGGAAGTAAGACCAGGTGCGATCAGGGAACTTGCTCAGAGTCACAAGAATAGGTGGCAGAAGGGTATAGACTTCAGCTGCCCGGGTAAGAGGAGTGTTAAGGCTAACAGCAAGTCCTATCTTAAAAGGACAGTGGGATCACTTGACAGGAAAAAGGTATCCTTATCCATATTTCGTATTAGGCAATGTAGTCAGTCAAGTGGGTTCATCATCTGAACCAGAGAGAGAAAACTTAAGGTTTAAGAATTTTTAAAATTCGGTGATATTAAGTGATAATCAGCTTTTCATAATGCCCTCCCTTTTCCTTTCTCCCTTCTGTTTTGCTAGGTGGTATGGTCAGGAAAAAGACTACAATGTGCTAGTCATGGATCTTCTTGGACCCAGCCTTGAAGACCTCTTCAATTTCTGTTCGAGAAGGTTCACAATGAAAACTGTACTTATGTTAGCTGACCAGGTATGTGAAATTTTGATTAGAATTAAAACTGAGAATACTACCATTCAACTTTATTTAACATAAGGTAGATGTTTGTGAACCTGTGCATTACTGTTTAACCTTAGGATCAGCAAAAAAAAGATAAAATAGGGTGTGCTCATTGAAGTGTTACTAATCTCATGACTTGTAGATGTTTTCCTATGGGCATAGGACAGAAACAGATTATATTAGTTTATCACTCACCTGTAGAATAGTAGTAGTTTTCAAGCTGCTCCATCAGATAGAGTGTGTTTAGTATTGAATATAGCCGTTTCTTTTCAAGGTTTGGTTTAAAGAAGGGGCTCAAAGTATATATAAGTATAGATAAACATATCCATATTGAAATTTTGATTAAATAAAGCAAGTTGAATGCTATGTATTATATGTGGAACTCTTATGAAAGCTGTACTTTTTTTTTTTTTTTTGAGGAAAATAGAGTACTAAAATAATTGAAGGAATAATTTTTGAACAAGTAAATGTTTTTGAAGTAATGGATTCTCCATTATTGGTAGTATTTAAGCAAAACTGGGGAAATTTTGGAGATGTCAATGAATTTGAGTCATGCATTGCCTGGAGGTTAGATAAAATTGTTATAAAGCCAGAGCTTTGAGTTTTTGATCTTAAGAAAATGAGAAAGAAAATTAATTTTAAAGAATTTTAAGATGGGAGAATGGGGTCAGGAATAATAAGCCTATAGATAATACAATACAGATAATAGGTAAATGTTAAAGAATTTATCATTTTGAATTTTGATCGAGATGCTTTTAAAGGCAAGAAAGTGTTAGAAATACTTAAACTCAGTGTGTTCATAAAAATGTTGTGGAAGGGAATAACATTTAAAAAATTTGGATATCATAAAAAGTAAAACGAGGTGATAAACAGAACTGGCATTTGAGGTAGAATTTTAGGGTGTATTACTCAAAGGATTAGATTTTTATAATCAGGACCTGATACTCCCTAACCTTAACATAAAAACTCTGAGTGGCTCAAGCAAATATTAGCAAATTACAGTGTTGGAACCTTATAGACTCAAACATTAAAAAGTTAAAAACCTTTACATATGTTTTAAGTAACCTGTGAATGAACCCTAATAAAAGTTCTGTAGTCTCAGTAACACACAGACATTCAGACAGTGAACATTTATTTAGGACTTGGTACTGTAATTAGTTACAACTGGGGGGTGCAGAGAATAAGAACTTGACCCTTCCCCCTCTGGGAGCGTGGAATTTAGTAGAGAAAAATGTGAAAATACAATGTCCCAAGGTTCTGTGATAGATATCTACATTGGGTACATTGGTCGTATGAGAGGAAGAATGTAATTCAAGGTTCCAGGAAAACATTTGTTTAGGAGGTAACAGCTAAGTCTTTTTCTGTAGACAATAGGCAACACTGGAAGTAGTCTATAGTTTGTGCCATTATCATCTTTTGCTCAAGATTTTCCCAGTGAGTTAATAGTCACATTTAATGATGGGTATTACTTCGCTGGGATAAATATATATATTAAAGGAGCCAAATGTTTTGTTTTACTTTCTTTAATGTACAAGTAGTTGCTGTACCTAAACGTGGTATTTGAACATTGTATACAATCTACTTCTTTGGAGTATCAGTTAAAGCCAGAGATTACAGATTTGGCTTCAAAAAACATAAAGGTAAAAGGAATAAGATTTAGAATCTGTATATCCATGGTAATAAAAGCTCTGGGGAGAATGGGGACAAATAAAAAATAGAATCCTGACACATGCTTCTGACAAGAGCAAGAGCATATGGGTAGAAAGGTAATCTTGGCAGTCTTTGGATGTGGAAAACATTTTCAAGTACAGCTTCTCAGTATCTTGATAATTCGAAGATTGAAACTATTTTGGAAGAGATGCCATAAATAGTGGATAAGTTTTTTTTTTTAATGTAAATCTACATTATGAATGATAGATAAAAAAAATTGTCTCGTATACACAGAATTTGGAAAAATTGACAAGGAAAAGGCCAAAAGAATAATGGATAAAAAGTATACACTGACAGTTCATAGAATAGTAAATCCAAATGAGCAGATTTCCAAATGAAGTGTTAGGGACATAAGATAAGGTCATCACCTGTCAAATTGGCAAAATTTAGAAAGAACTAAAATAACTTTGGTAGTGGGAAAAAGAATGCTCTCAAATACTACTGCTGGAAAAATGAGTTATAGCCTGTTTTGAAAAGCAGTCTGATGGGCACCTGTCAGAATGGAAAATATACATACCCTTCAACCCAGCAACTATAATTATATGGGATTTATAGCAGAATAAAAGTACTGGTAGGTAGGATATATTTAAGTTTATTAATAGCATTGCTTACAGTGGGGAAATATTAGAAACAGTGAGAATATTATAGGTTGGGGAGGATTGGGGAAAACTTAACATCTATACCATGGAATACTTGTAGCCATTAAAAAGAATGCTAAGACCTATACCATTTGACAGGGCAGAGTATCCAAGAAAAACTTGTTAGAATGACATGTTTACTATTCATTTTTTGAATGTGATTATATAAGTGTCGAGAAAAAACACAGAATCCAAAAAATATGTAAAAAAAAGGAATATATACATCCCCATTTATACGTTATATGCTTATTTTGTATGCTACCAACTTCCAGGAATCTTTGGGATATGTGTAGTTAAAAAGTGAATAGAGTGCTTCTATTTCAGTTTAAAACAATAACAACTTATAGTTCTGTCAATTGCTCAACACCCCTTCTTCCCAAGTATGTGTGTGTTAGAGGGAGAGGGAGGGAGTATGTGTAAGTGTGTAAGAGTGTGGAAGTAGATCTGGGTAATAACAGACTGTTTTAACATAGCTTAACCTCAGAAGGCATAAGATTGGTGGTCAAAAGTGATGATTTAGCTTTTACTTTATGTAACAACTAAAACAATTCTAAATTTATTACTTTTCCAATTTAAAAATTGCAAACACCAGTTCTTTCTATCAAATTAGGTGCTGTCTTGTTTATAATCATTGGAAGAACAAGCCAAAGGATGCTGCAGGTTCTTGCTTGGATATTTATCAATCTAGACATAAATGGAGAGCCTGATCACTCTTTTTAATTTTGACTAATATGAATTTGTGGACTGAAAAGTTGTTAAAATATACCTGACATATTGAAATAATTGAGAAATAATGTGTTGCTTTCTTTTATCACGTAATTCGAATTGCTTAACTCAGTTCTCTCCCCTTTTTTTCTTTCCCCAGATGATCAGTAGAATTGAATATGTGCATACAAAGAATTTTATACACAGAGACATTAAACCAGATAACTTCCTAATGGGTATTGGGCGTCACTGTAATAAGGTTAGTAAAATGTTCTTTGCATGAAAGAACAAAGAGTAAAAACTCCCAAAAATTGCTTTGGTAAACTTTCAGTCTTTTAAAAAGTCATAGTAAATTTAATTTGCTGTTGATAATTGCTTTAAAAGATTGTGCTAGAAGGATAATCGGCTATTAATTTAGTAACTTGAAATAAATTCTCTTCAACTTAACCAACCAAGGTTACTTTTCTATATGGAAATATAAAATTCCCAAGGGCTTAATAATGAAATGTAATCATCTATGTTATTTAACTATTCAACAGTTTTATCTATTTTTCATTTGTAAGTGCTTGTGCCAGCGTGGGAACCACTGACCTCTCTGTCACCATGGTGTTAACATTTGCTGACTGAGCATGATTGATAATGAGAATTCTTCAGTCCTTGGATTTGTGTATTCAAAAGGATAACTTTTGAGCCTGCTTCAAAAGTAGTTGACAGTTTCTTACTTGGGTGCCAGGTTGGGTGGGTTCTCCATCCTCCTCCCCGCCTTTCAAAGGAAAATATTAAGTGAAATGGACATTCATACAACAAAACTAGTGTTCACTGGGGTCTCAGTGAATGAACTTTATGGGGTGATTGGGTTTTAGTTAGTGACGCATGATTGCACTTAGAAACTAATTGTGTTGAAATTTTTTCTGCAATGATTAGTTTTATTGAGTGAATTGCTTTATTTTTTGATTCATTGTTGAGCTCGGGCAGACAGGCAGCATTGGCAATGCACTTAAGCATATTATGATCTAATGATCTGATAGAAATTCTCAACTTCAGGACAACTTGGGGACTTTTTATGTTTTTTTTTGTTTTTGTTTTTGGAAGGAAGATTTGTTTGTTTTATTAAACCATTAGGAAATATTTGGTGTTTTTAAGTCTAGCTATAAATGTTTACCTTTGTTTGCCTGTATGAATGCCAACTTGGAGCTATTACCATTAGAACCGGTGTTACTTGTTAATGTGTGAGACATTAACGTTGGTCTGACCCAGTTGTAGAAGACTAATTTTTTTGGTTGAAAGCTGAGCTTTAATATTTAAAAAATAAAGGTGTTTAAATCTACTTATAACTTACCTTGTCATTCCCAAATTGCATCCTTTTTTTTTTTTTAAAGTATTTTGTGGCTTCTCTTTTTGAAGCATCCAGGTTCTTAATTGTTATTGCAAAACCTGGTAATTTAATTGAAAAAAAAAAAATTACTGATGTTAGTTTTGGGGGCAGTTTTGTCAGTTTGACTCTAATCTTTTGGCCATTTCCCAGCCGTCTCCTTCCCATTTTTTCCCCTGCTAAAGATCCGTTATCTTCATGTGATGCATATTCTGCATGTTGACATTGCAGTACATAGTTTTTGCCTTAAAATTAAATGATGGCCTAGATAATACCTCTTTGCTCCCCCCCCCCACCCTTTAAAAATAACTTGTTAATCACATAGTTGTGTTAGAATCCCAATTGCCCAGTGATGGAAATCTTTTTATGATCTTTGTGTCCTCTTTAGGGATACTAAAAAGAATATTCATGGAACTGCTTGCTGTTACACAGATTCAGAGAGCCCGTAGGGCACAAACACCAGCATTTTACTTAACTCAGATTCTAAATGTTGTTCTTGAACATTTTAGATTAGTGTTTTGTTTATGTAGTTGGTTTTTAGTGTTTTCTGTATTGTAGTTTGAAAAATGCCAGTTACATGAAACTGGATTCTTTGGTCAGTTTGTTTGGATAGTTTTATATTTGCGGGGGAAAAAAAGAGTTTTGGGGGGGCTTTTGAGGTTGATTTTTAAAGTCAAATTTCTTATTTTGAAAATTGTTCTGAATTTGATATTTAGGAGTGGCTACTCCAATCTCTGTGAATTTGCTCATCTCTTTCAGTAATAATCAGCCCTGCATGCTTATGAAAATAAATTTTAAGGTGACTAAATGCCTTCTACCTCTTCCTTACTGAAGATTTTTTTTTCCCCTGTGCAATCTTTTTTTGGGGAAGGGCAGATTATGGTACCAAAGATTGCAGATCCAAATTCCCCATTTTTTATTGAAAAATTAAAGAGCCAAATGTCACCAATGCTATCCCTGTTTCAGGCAGTGACACATTATAGTGGCATTAAAAACCTGAGTATTTTCCAGAATTCAAATGTTTTTGAGTATGTGATTCGTATTTGGAAAACTGAGAAGCTACAGTGCTTGGTGGAAGAAGGATGGCATTTGGCTACCCTGTTCTTTCTCTAATGCCTCGGTGTTGCCTGTCTGCGCCGGCCATTGTTGCAATGTAAGCAATACTGTTTGATGCACTGCCACCCTCTATTGTCTGTTTAGTGTTTAGAATCTCCAGTGGGGAAGAGGAAAAGAAGCATGACTGTTAGTACTTCTCAGGACCCATCTTTCTCAGGATTAAACCAGGTCTGAAACTGTCTCCTATTCCAACCTCAATCCCAAATTCATGTGCTTTTCTTTTTTTATTGTTTTACTTTGATTATTTTTGTTTTGTTTTAATTCTGGAGAATGTAGATCTTGCTCAAGCACCTTTTACGTTGGCATTATTCAGACATACTTGGCAAACATATAACATTATTAAGATCTTTCTTTGTGGCTTTTGCTTAAACTTCTAAAGTTTAGAGAAAACTTAAATGAAAACAGGATTATGTTTAAAAATCTGACATCTGTACAAGAAAATGACATTCGTCTAGAAATTTACCTAATGGTAAACTTGAGATAGACTAGTTTTTAAAAATGTATTAGGAGTTGCAGAACTTACTGCATAAAAGATACCTAAATTCAGTTGTATCAGTTGCCCATATGGTGCATATGTTCTGCCTCAACTCTTCCCCTTTCTTAATGAACCTCAGGTAAGCGTAGATCACATTTCAGACCTAGTGTTTCTAGAATTGATTTACCTCAGTCTGAATTCTCTCAACTTTAACCAAATGGCATAAAATGCTTAAAGAGCATTACATGCTCTGGTACTAGAAGACATGGCATTCTAACAGTATAACAATAACATAATTGAAGCACTTATCAAACAGTTACCGTTAGTAATACATTAAATGAATGTATAACGTAGAGAAACACCACAATAATTTTAACTGTAGGTGGAAATCTTCATTCTTTTTCTTGTGTAGAGAAGTTGGATAGGTTTTTTAGCTATGAATTTTCAGACAAACAAGGGAAAATAGTTTTTTTAAAAACAAAATTCAGGAATGTAAATTTCGAAGCTCCAGTACAAATGAATCTTTATCAGTTAATTTTAGTGTACACTGAGAAGGAAGTATTGGCATGAGTAATTAAAAAGGTTGTATTTGATATACAAGCATACTTTATAGTTCTTTATTTAACACCTTCTTCATCTGAGTAATCATTTAATCCTTGTCCATACTGCTCAGCATTATTTTAGAGATCACCTTCTCCTGCTGTTACAAAGGTTTCAGAAATTCAGATATATTTTATTCACAAAGAAATACCAACAGTGGTGACGAGATTTTGGTTGGGGAAAGGAGGATGGTAGGTAATTAAGAATTCCATTCATTCACATATTTAACTCACATTTTGTAACATAATTTAATAATTTTCATAAAATTATATTGAATTGTTTATATATTCTCTACATACAGGTTAATTGGGTGGTGAGGAAAAGTGATCTTGTGAATTCTTTGAAAGGGCAGGGGAATGTGACCCCCTGGTTAGGAGAAAAATTGCTGCAGATATTTAAAGCTAAAGTTGGCAATAAGAATTTATGAAGAAAATGCACCTCTGCTGGATGGGTTATCCTAGTATATCCAACATTAACTCATTTCCACATACCTTCGAAGAATAGGCTGTATTCTTTAAAATAGGCACAAATTTTACTTAGAACATGTAATTAAAATACACAGAAAAATAGCTTGACCCATCAAAGATATTAGGTCTCTTTTTGCATATGCAAACCTATACAGATACATTCTTAATGACTTCTTTGGTTCTACCTTTACATGTTTGCGCCTGTTTGGTTGTATTCTTGGTATCATGTGGTTTCATGTAAATACATCCATTATATGTTTGCATTCATTTTAAAATTTAAAGCATAGAAGTTACTGAAGAAGCTTGATAGGAATCAGAAGGTAATTCCAAGAATTTTTTTTTTATTTTAAGTAGTTTTTCTTTCAATTGTTTGCTCCTAAAACAAGATACCTTTGTTTGGCAATGACGTTCCTTTTCCTAAGTTTTTACAAGAAGAGAAATTTTAAATTGATTTATTTGCTTTGTAGTGTTTTGTTTTGATATAAAGGTTGAGACTTTTAAGAAGATAGCATGTTCATTTTTTGTTTTCTTAATTAGATTTCATCCTACAGATTTGTGGAAGGAAATAACTATAGTAAACACTTGAGTTTTTATAAAGCAGTCTTAGTTTTGAGAAAGTATTTGGTTATTGAATTGCAAATGGAGCTACTGAATGTAGATTTAGACATGAATGAAGCTATCAGACATAATCATGTCAGAGATGTTCCTCTTTTCTCCTCCATTTTGAAGTACTGAAGGAAGCAATCCCCGAAAATATTCCTTGGAGGAAGAGATTTCATGTCCTAATCACTTTTTATTTAAAATCCACATAATTCTTAGATGTATTGTTTAAATATCTTGCAGCTAGATGTCGTTTTGTGTTTATTTTTTCCTTGATTTTCAGTATGAATATGTAAGAACTTAAAGTCATAATTTTTGTTTTGCTTAACATAATTTTTATTTTGTTTCGCTCATTTTAATATTTGTGTACTGAGCTGATATAAGCTGATACTGAGAGAAACAGTATGAGCTTTATTTCTTTTCTAACACTTTCTCATGTTCCTATAATAATGCAGTTGCTTAGGGAGTGAGTTTCATCTTATTAGAGAGCTTTTATGATCTAATTACATTTTACTAAAAAATTAATCTTCATTCTTTTATAGTGGTAGACCAAGCAATAAGTATCACATTATTAACATAGTTACAGAAGCTCAAACCTCAGTATCTTTCCCATCCAATGTATAACTAAGACTAGGTTGACAGTTGCTTGCCTGAAATAGGTATTTGTCATCCTCCTAAGAGAGACACTTGGTCAGATCTTTTTCAGCTAAATCAGTAACTTGCTTTGTTTGTTTGCATTTATTTATTTATCTGTCTATCTATATTTATTTACTTATTTACTTACTTATTTATTTATTTATGGATACGAGCCCTAACAGACTAAGTGATTGGGTTTCCCAACCAATTAGACTGTAAGCTGTGGCAGAAAAGACTCGATAGAACTATAAAATGTAGAAATAACTAGAAAAAAGAACAATAGGGCTATGTTAGTGTAAGGGCACAGAGATTTGCTTTGCTTAATAATCTTAAGTGATTTATGGTAAAGGCTAAATTTTAAGTATTGTTTATTTTGCTTTAGAAGGTAGGTAAAGGTAAATATGAACGTATTTTGTTTTTTGGGAGTTTTTTTGGTTAAAAATTTTGTTTTTTCCTTTTAAAAGTTTTAATCGTAGAAGTAAACCTGAATTAACATTATGAGTATCTTATTCTCTACCATATATATGAGACAGCACTAAACATTTTGTTCTAAAGTACTAGTTTTGTTTTTAGTTAGCATATTTATACTGCTACTTGTGAGCCACCTTGATACTAAGTACTATTTTAAGATTTTAGATCAACTCATTATAATTTCTGTAAGTTTAACCTGGTCACATGCATAAATGTCAGTGTGAAGCATTAGAATATAAAGCATACTTGTTGAAAAATGCTTTTTTATTTTTTAATAAAAATCTTGGTTTTGTTGTCATTGTCAAACTTTGAGAGTTGTCTTATTTACCAATAGTAACAGGATATCAGATTTCATTATGGCACACAGCACACTTGTCAACTCTGCTATCAAACATATATATATTTCTCCACTACTTTCTACAGACAGGCTCTGGGTGTGTAATGGACTGGACCTATGAAATTGTCCAGTTGAAACAATCAACCACTTCACTTAACTGTATTTTTTAAATTTGATTTATTGATGAGGACTAGTAAAAGCTTATTGGAGTGTTAAGTTTATTCATTATTTGTTTTACTTATATTTCATTTTGATATATTTGAACAAATAAAATAGATGCCATTTAATGACTAAAGTAGTTTAATAGAACAAAGTTGGAAACCTAATGTCTCTTTATTTTCTTTTAAAGTTATTCCTTATTGATTTTGGTTTGGCCAAAAAGTACAGAGACAACAGGACAAGGCAACACATACCATACAGAGAAGATAAAAATCTCACTGGCACTGCCCGATATGCTAGCATCAATGCACATCTTGGTATTGAACAGAGGTGAGTTTGATAGTTGAATGTGTTTATCACATCCATAGCAAAAGCCTTTAGTGGATGTTTGAAATATTTGTTAGTTTCTTACAATATCTAAAGATGTCTCTTGGCTAGGATTTGAAGGGTGCTTATTGATTCTTATACCTGCAGTGTTAGCCACTGCAGAGAAGCCAATTAAATGAAGCCTTTTTGTTTTCTTGGTTGAAGGTTATCTTTTGGGGAGAAAAATAATTACGTGATGAAAAATGGGAATCATGAATGCAATTTTACCAAGATATTTATTTTTGCAGCTGAAGACAGTACTTATTTTCTTAATGCCGATCTTGGGCTTTTTATATTTTAGTGGTGTAAGTTGAGTTTGGGAGAAGAATGTGTTGGTTATTTTTACAAGGAAAATGTTATCTGAGTCCTAATGAACCAAAAGGTGGTTTGTGGATCATCTCCTATTCTATTCTTCAACATCTACATGAATTAACAGGATCTGGTTTGAAGAAAAAATTGTCATAATCTTTGTGTTTAATTTCTTGAGTTCTAGTTTTTCATAGTCTCTTCATCTTTTATCAGTCGTTTTTTGCTCCTTAAAAACAAAGAAATGACAAAGTATATGTTTCCAGGTTAAGGAAGCTCGTGATATATTAAGCTTAGAAAATATACATAAATATCTGAATACCTTAGGTTAACTGTATTTTCACATTTTTTTCTAGGTCAAAGTATTACCAGTCTTTAAATATATGTATCTATCTGAATATATGTGTGTGTGTGTATATATGTATATACAGTTGACCCTTGAGCCACTTGGGGGTTAGGGGAACCCACCTTTGCATATTCGGATCCCTGACATCAGAATTGACCCTTGAGCAACTTTGGCTTGAACTGTTCTGGGTCAGTCGAACTGCAGTCAGTTGAAAAAAATCTACATGTAAGTGGACTCTCACAATTTAAACCTGTGTGGTTCAGGGGTCAACTGCATGTGTGTGTGTGTGTGTGTGTGTGTGTGTGCCCATCCGTCCATCCATACAGATGTTTACTTAGGTTTAAAATGTTAATTTTTAATTCAGCATCCCTAAAATTATTTTTAATGAGCTTCTATAAAATTTACAAGTATCCTATTCTTTGGTTCTTCCATCTTCCTTAACTTTATTTGGAAAGTTATTTAGCTAAATCCTTTTTGCTCTTTAAAAATTAAGTTGCATGGCTGTGTTATATTTTACAATTTTGGATCCTGCGAGATAGTTTTATTTAGAAGTAACCCATTATGAACTTTTTTATTGCCTTAACTAAGTACCTTCTTGCACAAGACACAAAATTGCTCACTCTCCTTGCTTGAGAAAATTCCTTCTTGTGTACATGCCTTTCTTTCACATATTTTTCATAATAATTTCAGCTCAAATTTACATTTTCTTTTCTAGTCGCCGAGATGACATGGAATCATTAGGATATGTTTTGATGTATTTTAATAGAACCAGCCTGCCATGGCAAGGACTAAAGGTAAATCAGACTTGCTCTGCCAGTTGTTTGGTTTTGTTTTAAGAATAGAAATATGTATTGGAGATAATCTTTAAGGTCCCTTTCAAATGTGAGGTTTTTAAAAAGTAAATTAACTTTATTTTACCTTGTATTAGGAAAATGAAATATGATCATGTCAGTAAGAATTAAGTTAATAGACTCCCACAGACATGCAGGAAGAACAATTTTTTGGGAAATAGCAGATACCCATTGGTATGGTAACCAGTAGCTTTATCTGAATGGAAGTTGACATGGGCTAAGAAATTAGGTGAAGGCTTTCAGATTTGGGTGTGTTGCCATTATGTTGAAAATATATACTTTTATGTACAATAAAACTGGTTTATCCAGAAATAATAGTTCTATTATTATCTTTTATGTACAATAAAACTGGCTTATCCAGAAATAATAGTTCTATTATTTAATTATCTTTAAATTTTCTGTTAACAAGGAGTTTCACCATTGCTTTTGTGAGTTTTCCTATGTTAATGATAAGTCACTGTGTCCTCAAATTTAATGGCTGTTTTTATATTCTCTTGGTTTTGTAAAGGAAAATAGTTCCTGTATTTTTTGATGTCTATAAGCCAGGCAAATTGCTCAGTGCTTGTGTGTGTAGCTTTATTTAATATGAATATTATTTTTTTCGAAAAATATTTTGACTTAACACCAGTTATTAATGTCACTGAATGATGGGCACATTTTTTTGGTATTGGTCTGCTTATGACCTTTGCCCTTGGGTTGAATATGGGTTAAGAAAACTCATTTCAAATTTTACTCCTCCCATTTTTACTTAAATCATACATCTTGATGTTCCTGTCAGATCCACCCTTTCCTAATAGCTAAAAATGTTATTGAAGTCGAAACTCATGTAAAAAGTTAACAATTGAGGGGGGAAAATTTTAGATGTAGTATACTTTGATTTCTTTTTTATTCTAGGTTCTAATTTCTCTTGAATCTCAAGTTTATATTTATATCTAATGTGTTAAACTAATAAGGCTCTTCTCAGTAGTATTGAGTATGTGGTTTGATTCTTATATTCCACAGGCTGCAACAAAGAAACAAAAATATGAAAAGATTAGTGAAAAGAAGATGTCCACTCCTGTTGAAGTTTTATGTAAGGTAGGTGTGCATGATTGAAAAAATCTAATCTAATCTAATCTACTTGCCAGCCCCGGAACTTAAAAAACATCCTTTTAGGAGCTAGTTATTTACCATTTTAAATTTACTTATTGATAATTTTTGATTTGATAAGTATCTTTAAGAATGGCTTGAACATATGACATTTTAAATAAGTTTTTTATTGTTTCTGGTTTGTTTGGGCTCTGTCATCTGTTAAAAATTAGAGGGAAACTATAAGGGGGCAGGTAAACTGTCCTAAATGAACCTCAGCAATTTATGAAAAAATTAAATTTAAAGTATTCTTATCCCTAAGCCGGTGCCAGAAAAGAAAGGATACCAGCAATTGGTATATCAGGGAGTAGGGAAACAGAGGCAGGCAGATCAGAACAATCTAAAATATAAATAGCACATGTCTGATGGTGTAGATGACAGCTTTAATCAGACTCATACCTCCAGACTCTCAGATTTCATAGAGAGGCATGTGAGTTGAGAATGGAGAGATGTTTATGCCATGATGAATAACCATGGTCTTCCATAGAAAGAAGACCACATGGTCATCTTTGAGACAACAGTTACATACCTGAAATAATTAGAAAGCAGTATATAATTAACATAGTTGGGCAATAGAAAGTAGAAATCAGCATGAGTTGAAAATAGTACTTTGTGGAAGGGGAAAATGGTGATGTTTTTATGCGTCTCCCCATCCACAAATTTGCGTTCCCCTTTCCTACATATCTATAATAAAGGAGGGAGTCGGGTGGGAGACTGATCTTTTCTGAGATTCTTTGGGATTTAAATTATGAAATACATTTTAGGTTAATGAATAAAATGTCCATATGTTATAATCCACCCAAATAACTTTAAAATCTATATACTTCAGGAAGTAAAACATCATATTTTCTATATACTCCTTTTTCCATGCAATGGAAAGATTGATTTGGCTTATCAGAAAAGTTGGCCATTTTTACAGGAAAAGACAAGATTTAGTAACATTCTGTGCTGGTGTGTCACTTCTTAATTTTTATCTAGGAATTGTAAACTATATCTTTTTGGATTAGCTACATATATTTGATTCAGGGTACAGAGAACACAGAAGTATTAGATGTTATTGTAAAGTAGTGAGAATGTGTTCAGTCTCATGGTCCAGTTGTGTACTTCTTATTTCTCATCTGTAATGCTTATGATACTGGTAGTTCTCTTGTTGAGGTTTTGCCTGTTTTCATAAGGTGGCAACACATGAAGTGTACCAATTGACCCTCAGTCGTGGTGTTCAACTCCATCTGTAATACCTTTAAAAGCAAATTTCATAATTGCTACTTACCATTAACATAGACCGTGAATGTGTATTAAAAATTTTTAAACTCTTATTAAGAGTTTTTAAAAACAAAACTGTACAGTATATATTTATGGCTTTAGTTTCAGATGGTCACCCAAAAAATAAAATAGCATAAAAGTACTCTGTAAAAATTAAAACTGTTTATGTCAGTACAATCAGTAAAAATAAATGTTGCAAATATATTCATTCTATTATACCTTGATCTCGATGTGAGAAATTCCTTAAAATCATAAGGTTGTGGGAAGAGATTGCCTCTTTTAACTTACCTCCCTTTACATTCACATTGACTCAAGTTGAGAGGTAGTGATTTTTGTTTTACTGCTTTGCCTATGTACATTCCTGATGGCAAAATACTTTTGGTGATTAATATCTTCAGTCTCAATAACGTTCATATATCTGCAGTCTCAAAAATATTCATATACATCTTTGAGATGTTTTCTAGGAAGCAACATGGAAAAAGTTTATGCCCACAGATATACTTATTAGTATTTATAATAGAGAAAAATTGGAATCCTTTAAATGCCTAATTATAGGGAAACATTTGTGATGTATTCATTAGGTTATTCATTAGGTTGACTATTATGCCGCCGTCCAGAAGCTTAGGAAGAGGTTGAAAATAACAGAAGGATGCTTGTAATATAATGTTAATGGAACAAAACAATATATTATATATGCACTATGATAACAGTTATGGACAAACCAAGTCTATAAGATGAAGCATTGAATTGATCTGTATCCCAACAGTGGTTGCCTTGTATGTTTCCACCGTTGATGATTTTACTTTTCTGTTTATGTAGGAATGGGTACTACTAATATAAATAATTGCAGAGTTGGGAGGAAAGCTCATTCATTGTCCTGTTCTGGCAAAGAACATTGCTGGCCTCCATTTTATCATTTCTTTATTGTTGCCATCAAATTATTAGACATTGATAAAATATCTAAATAATTTAGGAATGTAAGACTGTAGTAAAAAGATACATATTTCCTCTACCAATATTAAATGATATTATAAATTTATGAGGATATCGGTCAGATTTTAGTTCTCACATCTTCCAGTAAAGTAGTTAAAACACTCTCCTCAAGTACATTTTTTGCTTGTATTTAAATACATTTACTTTGAAATGAGGTTTTTGTTTTTTTACATTGTGTTCTAACTCTTGAACTCTTGTAGGGGTTTCCTGCAGAATTTGCCATGTACTTAAACTATTGTCGTGGGCTGCGCTTTGAGGAAGCCCCGGATTACATGTATCTGAGGCAGCTATTCCGCATTCTTTTCAGGTCAGTTTTTAAGGTGTTTTAAGACTGTAAACTCCAGTGAGGGGAATTAGTTAAATCCACCCAGCGTATCTATTCTGACAAGTGGCAACTTAAAGTGCATCTAGCCAATATGAATAAAATTTTAAGGAACTGTAAGTTTGGCTTTTCCATTTGTAGTGCAAATGTGCTCAAAATTATATTAGTTTGGGAGAAACAGTTGAATCAAACTTAAACTAGAATCTAACTTTTCCACAATAATTGCATTTCGTATTAGATCTAAGTGACTGTCGGTAGCCCTTGGAACTCTCTAACTTTGGTACAGAACCTTATTCAGTACCAAAATGAAAAGCAATTAAAATATCAAGCAGTCATGGAGTCTTTGCTACTGTGGAGGCAGGCTCAAACTCTAGGGTTCCCTAGGTGTACCCCAGAATTGGTCTCGAAAGGGGGAAGAATAGAGTACACGTGGTTCAGAATCTTAGTGGGAAGAGAATACGAATTGGCGGTAATCCTCTAACCCCAGAAAAGTCTTTGCAAGTCACTAGTATAGCTATCCACCTCACAAACTTACAGTCCCATTCCTACTCTGATTTGGTTTTAGAAGGTACCTCCTATTGTGATTACCACTCCCCCTGAATAGCTGAACATCATCTATAGGAGAAGAAATTTTTGAAGAGCTGCTACACTTAAGAGAAAATATTCAAATCCTTAAAAAATACTCTCACTGTCTTAAAAGCTCAGTAGTGTATTAAATTAGTCTTATTAAGGGATTAACATAAATTTTTTTTATTTTCCAGGACCCTGAACCACCAATATGACTACACATTTGATTGGACAATGTTAAAGCAGAAAGCAGCACAGCAGGCAGCCTCTTCAAGTGGGCAGGGTCAGCAGGCCCAAACCCCCACAGGCAAGCAAACTGACAAAACCAAGAGTAACATGAAAGGTTAGTAGCCAAGAACCAAGTGACGTTACAGGGAAAAAAAATTGAACACAAAATTGGGTAATTCATTCATTTCTAACAGTGTTAGATCGAGGAGGTGGTTTTAAAATACATAAAAATTTGGCTCTATGTTTTTAAAAAAAGACGTCCTTGGAAAATTTGACTACTAACTTTAAACCCAAATGTCCTTGTTCATATATATATGTATATATATTTGTATATACATATATGTGTGTATATTATATCATTTCTCTTGGGATTTTGGGTCATTTTTAACAACTGCATCTTTTTTACTCATTCATTAACCCTTTCCAAAGTAAACATTTGGTGTTGGGAATATGGTATAATCAATCAATCCAAAATCCTAGACCTAACACTTGTTGATTTTTAATAATGAATCCGGTTAGCCATGATGTCTTGACTTTCAGACTAACAGTGTTAAGAATTTTTTCTGCATGTTAATGCTTTAGTATTTAAAATGGAAAATTGTGAACATGATGTACTTTCAAGAGGTGAGTTTGGCATTGCCCCAATAGTATCTGTCTTCTCAGTTGTAGAGCATCTTGTTTAAGCTCTTAAATACTCAAATAACTGAAAAGCTTGACAGTGTTCCTAGTCAAAAAAGCAGATCTTTCTTTTAGTTGCTATTTAACTACATATGTTTATTTCAAAAAAAAAAATGATTCTTTTGTTTTTGGCTTTGTTTTTTTAAATCTTGCTAAAACAGAGTCTAGGGATCCAATGTGGAATTGAATTCTGCAGTTTGAGGCCTTGCAAATTGGAAAAAAAACTGGGGCAAATGCCATTGAAATAAATGTTTCTTTTCTATCTTTTCTCTGGCACTCTCGGTGCTATAAGGAGTAGAACTGTTAGGGCACGGCTCCATATCTTATCACCGTTGCCATACAGTTCAACTCCTGTATTTCATGTCTTTTGTTTTCTTTTCCCCTTTCTGGGGCTTTTCTCCTGAAACCTGCCTGCTTTCTGGAAGTGGTGGGCAGGTAAGGTTTGGTTTTTAATTATTTAGTTTCTAATTATTTAATTTCTGAATGACTGCTCTAGTCTGAACTTGGTCTTCTTTGGTCCTTATTTTCAATTTTGTATTTTAACTATTTTATAAATAGTTATTTTAAAAATAAGCTCTAATCTGAGAATACTTTCAAGAAGTATAATTAACTGATGTCATCCTCATCCCAGCAGCTCATCTTTTAGAAATAAAGTTGAGATGCCTTCATGTTTCTGTATTTGAGAAGGATTCACAGTTGAAGGTTTAATGTAGTGGGGGTTCTTAGATGATGAAATTTCAGCTCAGGATAGCACACACTAATGCTTGCCCAGTACTCTGCCCGTGCATCTCAGTTGGGACTTAATTGCTCCTTTTGAGTGTTTTAATCATTATATAACTCATCAGTGCCAAGAAGGTAGGAGAAACGGTCCTCCTATATAGGTAAGACAACAGAGAGTCAATCTCTAAACTGGGGACTTGTTATACTTGACACTTGTAGTATATTTGCTTTTTCTCACGAAATGAAACCAATTTTTGCTTAAAGCTAGCTGGGATAATAGGATCATCATGAGTTGCAGTTTCTAGAACTAAAATTAGATTGAAATCTCAGCTGACCTAGAACATTCCACTTCAGGCATTCAGCAGCCTTCAGAAAGAATTATACCTTATTTTGAGCTAGTTCCATTGTTAGTTTACTGTATCTCTTACTCAATAAACAAGCAGAATTTTTGTCCTGCCTTATCTAGGTCCTAAAGATGAGAAGTTGGACCCACTGAGTTAGTATGTTTCCTTGGGGGAAAAAATTGTAATTAAACTTAAGTTTAATCCTTACTTTGTATCATAGCTATTTTTCATAAAAGCAACTTAAAATTTTATGAAAATCTATATAGCATTATTAGATAACAGAGGTTATACATTGTTACATAAACACGAACTTTTAAATTTTTGAAATTTGGACTTTTCGTAAAACACATCACATATCGTTGACCGACTGCTTTCAGATACGCACATCCAGATGCTCCAAGCAAAATATTGCTTGCAACTAAAACATGCTACTCCACAGAATAAAAACAACAAAATTACTTTTGATCTTTGACTTCTTGAAAACATATTTATTTTAGATATAGGTCTTAGTGCTCCAAACAGATATTACAGAAAACCTCCTGTATATAAAGCCATGAAAGTTTTAGCAAGTTTGATGGTGACATGAAATAGGTGTGGGGAACCAATTCCTCTAACCTTTACCCCAAGCCCCTTATCTGGGTCAGTCTCTAAGTAGTAAGAGTGTTCAAAAGCATACTCTCTTAGGGTTCACTACAGATTTTTATTCAAGGAAGAGCTCATGCAGTTTAATGATTTATTGGTTCCAAGAAATCCTTTCGGTGATGTTGAAAACACCATATTGCATTTTTCTAGTTACAATTTTAGAAAGTGCTGTTTAAATAATCATATCATTTGTTATTCACAGAATTATACTTTCAGAGGTTTCCATATCAGAGAATTCAGTTTCTTAAATGAATCTTCAGCAAGTAGATTTCTATATTGCAGGAATGTCTGTTCCTGGAAAAAATTCCTCAAGTAGTGGCATTCACTAGTATTTTTTTATGTGATTATTTTTATTTTTGAAAATCTGTACCTAATGTTTCTTTCATAGAAAGCTATAATTTGTTGAAGCAGTTCACTGAAAATATGCAAACACTCTTTAAAGTCTAGCTCAGTTCAGCTAAGATGGGCTTATTATATGTAATAGGCTCCTATCCTAATTACTTTCTAAAGAAAAGATCTTTTGAAATGTTCTATTCCAAAGCCCATCAAAAAACTAAGAATAAGAAACAAGTTGTTTCTCCTAGTGCCCGCTATGATCTATCTATCTGTACTAGTTTTCATTGCCCAGGTATCACACGATTATAATTATTGTTTATTTACATATTAAGGAGAAAAAGAAGATTCACATCTGATACACTTTCAAATCCATTTCATTCCCTTTTCTTCAACTATATGTGATTATTCTAAAAGTACTTTTTAAAAGACATTTAAGAAGTAGTAAAGGAAAAAGATGTTTTTAGTACATTCACAATCCAATTAAAGTTCATCATTTCTTTAGTTAAGGGCAAAGATGGGGAGAATTTCAGAAGGTAGTGAAACTGAAGGTGGATCCTCACATAAGTTTACTATTCTGATCATCTTGACACATCTGTTCACTACTCTAGTCATAAATACTAATAATTTTATCATAATAAAAGTATCTCGATGTCAAATTGTTGACATTCAAGAAATTAGAAATCGTTTTCCATCACATTATCCTACCATGCCCATGGTCTTCCTTGAATTACCTTCCAGTATTTACCAAGCTTCACCACCTTTTATGTCTAGCTTAACTTTTTCTGACTTCACCAATTGCTGCTAGGAACGTGGCTGATCACTCAGCAACGTAACCTAAATCACAGGGGAAGACCTTGAAATATCTGGAGAGACTGATCTGCTCTGAATACACTCAGTTCAAAGGGAGCTGCATCTGGCTTGTTGAAATTTTTGTCAGCTTTTTTTCACTGTGGACAATAAAGCTGGAGAGAAAAGAACTAAAAAAAACTACAAGAAATGAAGATGAGTGTGCAAGAATTGATTTGTGGATGATCTGAAGTCCACGTCTCCAAGGCTGATGAACCTATCAAACTTTTCATATTGTCTGGATAATACAACAGTCCAGAAGACCTAGAAGAGTTCAGTGTTGCTGTGACTCAGTCGTGTATAATGCAGACCATCTACCAGTTGGGGAAGGAATCAGTTGTAACAGGTATTTTAAAATTCAACAACCTCAGATCTGTAGCAGAATGAATTCTGTAATAGGGAAGACAAAAGAAATCGGATCATCAGTCTGGGTTTTTGTTTTTGTTTTTTTTTAAAATGCTGTTTAGGGATGATGTCTACCTGCTATACTTAAGTTGTCATTTATCTTATTTGTAGTGATAAAAATAAAATCTATTTCCTTTATCTTTCCTAATTTAATACTTTTCTGTGGAGAAGGAAGAGTTGTAGGTTTCTTTGTTTTTCTTCAACTATTTATACTGTCAATCTGATTCAAATTTTCTAAGCTTTATTCTGATTCTGTGTGACCAAAAAAACCACACAAGCATGTTATAGGAAAGGTTGATTTATATAAAAGGCATTACAAAGTGATGAATATAAATGTTATATTTAAAATTACTTTTTTAAAAAAGTTATATCTTACCAACTGCATTGCATAGTGATGAATATAAATATATTTAAAATTTTAATTTAAAATGTTTTGTCTTATGCTGTGAAACAATTCTACATTTCAAAAGCTCATCACAGACTTTTAAACCTTACTATTATGTAAATATCCCTTTGAACTAATTTGTGGTTCTGTCAAAAAAAAAATTACGGCCATCTGAAGTTAATTCACAAATAGGAGCATACATTAACTTTCAGATTGAAGGATAGAATCTCCTGGTTAGTTATATAAAAGTGAACATTTTTTTTCCTTTTGCAGATTTGAAAAGAAATTTAAATGTAGCTATTTACTCCTGAATCTGTCACATTGATCCTCAAACCTTGTTTTAACTTTTTTTTTTCCATTTTTTTTTAGGAACAAAGGAATCCATTTCTTATTTTAACTGTTGTTGCAGTGAAGATGGGTTTTTGGACTTTTAGAAGCCAGGAGATACCACCTAAAGTTCAAGATAAAAACCAAGGACTAATGCACACTGGAGAGAAGAATGCTTGCTTAGCACTTGAAGACCGAATGTCGAAATCATGCTGAATGCTTCTATTGTGATTTTTAACATCACTGACATCTTAGGATAATTCACTGGAGAAACATTGATCCCTGGGTGTGGAGTATCATAGCACACTGGACGATCTGAAGAATAAAATCTGGATTCGGCTGCTGTATTCTGCCAGGAATATCGTTAGGCTAGCCTTTAACCAGTCCGTAAACAATTGTAAATCATTAGTTGACTCAGCAATTCCTCAAATATCAGATTAAAGATGAACAGATAAAATTCTTACCTAGGTATAATTCTTATCCCTACACAACAGATTTCTACTATTTTGACTGCCAGTGTAACTTATATTTCCACATTTTAGTTTGTTAGTGACAGTGGTTTCCATTTTAAAGCTATTTGGATATTCAGTGTAATAGTTATTTCAGTATAATGAAATTGCGTTCACAAGTTTTGGTAAATGAAAACCCAGAAATTTTAGTAGTTGTGAAAACATTTCTCTTTGTCTTATTTAAGAATAATTGCAGTACTTGAAACCAAATGCCCATCAGGATAAGGGTTATTTCTATTCAGCTAATCCATAGTTTTAATTTACTTTAAAATTTCTATGTTTTTAAAGTTGGATTAATTACAGAATGTAGTCAGATTTTTGTTATCTTTCATTTTTGTCATTTGCTTTATGAACGTAGTACTTGGGACAGGCAGCAAAGGTCTCTTCTATACCTTCTCTGGTGTTAGGCACTGTGGAGCAACAGAGTACAGCACTACATCTTGTCCTGGGGTCTTAGCCCAGTATATTTATTGAATGAAGGTGACTTTCAGCCTTCAAATGAAAGAATGTCTAGCTAACAAGTGAGGAAATATTTGCCAACAAATGATATATTAATGTTTGGAATTTGAAAAAAAGGCATATATGCATGAAAACTAATTGTGGAAATATTTTATCCCACAAAGGCCTCTGGAGATAGTCCAACAAATGTTTGAGAAGTACCCAGAAAGGAGCAGTTTGTAATTGATAAAAACATGATTTGTGCTAAAGAAGTGTGAGGTCAGAGTGGGCTAAAATATTGGCTGTAAGAGTTTGGAAGGGGGTGTACCAAGGGGCACTGATGCCTTAAAGGAAACCAGAAGGTGCCGATAGGATTTTCATGCTATTCCTGAAAGATGGGCATATTTTTCTCTCAAAGCCACAGGTTAAATTTGTAGGTAATATTTTCAGCCATAGATAAAGCATGCAGCTATTATTTGCCTGAATTCTTCTATTAAAACGTGGAATCTTTAGGCTGAGGAGGGGAGCATTTGCAGGGTGGGAAGCCTTGAGAAGTAAATAAGCCAAAAAAGTATTTTGTTTACATTTTCAAATCAGTGATAAAGCCTAAACTTTTCAGTGCAACTGATGGAGGTAAAGGAATTTTTATAGATCTGAAGTTTCTGTATAAAAACATACCAGTTTTTTGTGGTCAGTGGAATAACTCAGATAATTATGTCTTGAATACATTTATTAAAACGTAACTGTTCCTTATTCATATCAGAAATAATGGGCGGAAAAGTTCTGCTCATAGAATGATTAGAACTATATGGTCTAGTTGTTAAAGCCAAGCAATCTATTTTTCATTCGTTTAACAAATAGTTGGACACATAATATGTTCTAGGTACTAGAAATACATAAGTAAGTAAAACAGGCTTATTGGAATTAACAATAACTCTCTAGCTTGAGAATAGTATGCTGACTGGGAGGCTTTAATTCACTGTTATACTGCTCCTACCTAGAAGTATCCAGAAGAGAATTTTCTTGTTTTTCTGTTTAAAAGAAAAACAAAAACAAAACTGAGCTAATGATTTTCAAATAGATGGAAATCACATTAGTCACCATTCTAAAATAATTACTGTCCCAAATCCACCCAATTTCTTTATTTTGGGTGTAGTTTTTTTAAAAAAATTTTTTTGCCTTAGAATTTTAACGTTTTTTTCTGTTTTGATTTTTTAAAAACAGGTTTCTAAGCATGAATCGAAGAACAGAAGAAGCAGTGCAGATGATCGGAGCAGCATTTGTTTCTCCCCAAATCTAGAAATTTTAGTTCATATGTACACTAGCCAGTGGTTGTGGACAACCATTTACTTGGTGTAAAGAACTTAATTTCAGTATAAACTGGCTCTGGGCAGCACTGGTGATGCTATGTCCCGAGTTGTAGCCGCTGTAATTGTGAATATTAACTGAGATAGTGAAACATGGTGTCCAGTTTTCTATTGCATTTTTTCAAGTGGAAAAGTTAACTAAATGGTTGACACATACAAATTGGTGGAGAAATTGTGCATATGCCAATTTTTTGTTAAAATCTTTTATTTTGAACTATACTGCTTTGAGATCTCATTTCAGAAGAACGGCATGAACAGTCTTCAGCCACAGTTGTGATGGTTGTAAATGCTCACAATTGTGCATTCTTAGGGTTTATCTATCCATCCTGGGGTTTGCAAGTTGTTCACTTAAAACATTCTTAAAATGGTTGGCTTCTTGTTTGCAAGCCAGCTGATAATGGTAGCAACCAAAGATTCCAGTGTTTTGAGCATACGAAAGACTGCCTGCTTACCTGTGCTAGAAATAACAGCATCTAAAGTGAAGACTTAAGAAAAACTTAGTGACTACTAGATTATCCTTAGGACTCTGCATTAACTCTATAATGTTCTTGATATTAAAAAAAAAAAAGCATATTTGTCACAGAAATTTAGTTAACATCTTAAAACTGAACATGTATGTATGTTGCTTAGATAAATGTAATCACTGTAAACATCTATATGATCTGGGATTTTGTTTTTATTTTGAAATGGGAGCTTTTTTTGTTTACAAGTTCATTAAAAACTAAAAACTGTTTCTGTAAGGAAATGAGATTTTTTTTTTAACAACAAAAAAATGCCTTGCTGACTCACTATGAAATCAAATCTCCCCAATTTTTTAATAGACTACTTCAAGCCATTTGTTACATAATACTCCTTTGCAAATCATTTTAGGTTTAGTGTTATAACTTTTCCTCAGATTTTTTTATTTAAAAAATTGTTTTTTGTCTGAAGGGGAAAGGCATTATTATTATTTTTTAATGACTTGCAGGCATAAATACTAAGTGCTGCATCTGCCAGGACTTAGTATTATTATAACTCCTGCAGCTTCAGACTAACAGCTGGACTGATTTTGAATAAGAATGAAAGTGTTAAAGGGTTTAACTACAAAATGAAGTTTTTAAGTGCCCTCTTAATTGGCTTTGAGCAGATTGACTCCCAACCTTGGAGAACATCACACCATTCAGATTCATGTGCTTGCTGACCTTCCCTATTCCCTAGCCCACCCATTTCTGTAAGTTATCTGCACTTCTCTCAGTCTGATATGCCACTCTTCTTTCTGACCCAAGAAAAAGGTTTATTAACAATGCTTTTTTTAATAGTGTAATTTATTCACTTATAAGCATGTCAGGATAAATTAAAACTTTCGTCTGAAAATGCTGCCGGGAGCCTATTGTGTAAATGTAGGTATTTTGTAAAATAACCTATAACCTTGAAATTGTAAATTGACACGTGTTTGGTCAGATTGTGTCAAGCTTAATTTTTCTTTTTTTTATTTGACAACTACATTAGCAATAATTAATTCCATGATTACCACATTCTGCCATTAAAGGATAAATTAGCGCCATCATGCTGCAGAAATCTTAATGAGTATGAACTTTTGGGGTAGGCAGCTTTGTTTTTTCCCTATCCACCCATGTCAGTTAAGGTATTTGTTTCTTGACTAATAAACCCTTTGATACTTTTAGCCAGAAATCAGTCTCATAAAGCTATTTTTAAGTATAGTTTGTGTAAAAAAAATGTTTAGCTTTGGTAATAACTTTTCCAAGCTGAACTCCCTCTAGCAAGATATTTTTCAGTGCTTTTATTTACTATGCACTTAGACTATGCACTTTTTCTGAAATATTTTTGTAACACTTAACTTTTTTGTATTTTTGCCATTTGAAAAGGTTGTGGTGTAGTTGGTCTGTAATTAAGTTGCAGATTTATAACTGCTGTTAGCTTTGTAAATCAAAATATAGGTGTTTTTGTCCTGGTATATCGTCATTCCATCTACAGCTGGAGCTGGAATCCCATTGATCTTCTAGCTACCATTCATTTTCTTCACAGTTCACAAAAGAAGAATGTGAAATTCAGTGAATGCTGTTACTAATCCTGTCGGGAGATGAATCTCATTTCACCAAAATTAAATTATGTTTTTCCACTAAAATGATGATACAAGTTGAAGACACATCACTCAGAAATTGGAAGACCTCACCACTTAAGGCTCCGCAGTGGCTTACTCAGCTGAACTCTAGGTTACTACTCTTTACTTTGTTTACCCATTTGGGGGTGCAGTTTTTTTAAATGTTGGGAGATGGCCATTCTAACTACTGTTGAATGTCTCTGTTTTGGGAAGGTATAACAAGAAAATAAAAAAATATATGTAAAGGGAGAGACTGGTTATCTCCTCCCATACGGTTGTGCTCATGCTCCTATGGCCTATAAATGGAATTTCGGAGGTTTGCTTTTACTATTACTTTTCATCAAATATTAAGAGATTTTCCTATTTCTGCTAGCCCTTGCAGTACTATTACATGTTTTAAGCAGAGTATACTGTAATAATTATATACTTAATTTTAATTTCATTATAATAAGAGTACCAAACAAGGATTTTAGAACCCAAGGTAACAAGCTAGTTTCCCCTAACATTTGCTGAAATACCTATTGAGAATGAGTTCTTTTAACTTGACTAGAATGAACCATGGGAATTGCAAGAAGATGTGGTTTAGACATTTTCAGCTCAGTTCCTGAAAATTCAGCAGTCTGTGAGGTATTTGACTTTCTGAGCCAAACTGATATGTAGCAATATTTTAGGCTTTTTCTGTTAGTTTTTAAACATCGATGACCATGTGACCAAGATGCGAGTGGGTCTATGTGTGATAAAGTGTAACAAACACATAAAAGAATTTATCTCAGATGTGCTGTCCCGTTAAAATGACTTTTTGAGACTAAACTTACTTTAATCATATTGCTATTACTCATATTTTGGGGACCTCGTCCTAAAATTTTTCCACTTCTCTGGAATATGTTTAGTAATAACAGACTTTATATACCTCTGAAATGGCCAAAGATGGTGGTGAATCGAGTGTAAGTTGATGTCATCAGGCTGTGCATTCTGTATTTAATTATCAGTCAGTATATAGTTGAAGAGAAAATGTTTTCTGAAATGACTTGTTAGACCCATTGAGTATAGATGCAAAAGTGTAATGAAAATGTTGAGCAACATTAGAGTAACTAGCTGTCCAAGACACGTTTCAAGCTGTTGGTCAATTATTTTGTGTCTTTTGCTTGAGACTGTGGACCCACAGAGGCTAGAATTCTATAATGAGGCCACAGATTCATCAAGTTTGGGAGACCTGGATTCCTACTTATTTCTTTTATTTGATCTCTGCTCCTTTTCAGCCTGGTGGGGTGAATTGATTCATTCTACCTTTTATCTTCGTCAAGCCAGATCCCTTGAAGAGTTGTGGGGTTTTTTGTTTTTGGTTTTTGTTTTGTTTTGAGGAACTCCTACTGCCTGCCTATCTTGTAGCATCAAAATTATGAAGAAATGTTTGTAATATTAATTATTTAAGTATTGGGAGCAGTGTTGAGTTAAATGGTGTCACTACTACCCAAGACCTGAGTCAAAGCACCTGACTTGGAAGATTTCTGCATGAGTAGAAAAAATGGAGGTGAAGAAAGTCTTTACGAGACCAGTAGATCTTAGTCCTTCATAGTGAGGCAGCCAACCAGAGTGTATAAATCATAGTTATTTATCTGATATTTAAATTCAGGATTTTCTATTTTATCTAGTCATTTATCACCCCAGGCATGCAGAATTTGAAGAAATGAACTGAGCTGTTTTGGTATCACAGTGTACCTTCCAAATCGATTTTAGATTGTCAGGAGCTATACCAGCCAGCTACAGGGAATTCAGAAAGGAACGATGCTCCTTGGAGAAATGTCTGAGTTTAGGCCTGGGGCATAGAAGGTACAAGATAAACCTGGAACGTTCTCTTGTGCCGAGAAGAACGGAAATCTCGAAATATAGGGTTCGTACTAGCCAAATCTGTACAGGATACACTATTGAAATAGTGATAGCAGCATAACTCAGTGAGAATCCTTGATTTCTATATTTATATAAAAATGGAGAGAAGGGAAAACTTCCTTAAAGTAGAATGTCAGCTAATAAAAGTAAAAATGTTTTAGAAAATGATTTTGTTAAAGTAGCAAGTACAAGTTTGATAAGCAGAACATTTACATTGTCCTAAAAGTACACATTACTTATTGGGGGACTTAAAATTACTTGGCTGAACAGTTAGAAAATATTAACATTTTTTGATCCTCATTCTTAGTCGGAAAGGTAATATTATCCCCTTTTAAAGGTTACAGTACTAAGTTTCACAGGATTAAGGAATTTGAGTCCATATAGAACTTTAAGGTTCTTAAAGTTATGTACGTCATCTCATTTAATCCTCATAATTACATGAAACTTACTGTTATGGTAAGACAGGTTGGTAAGTTATTCAGAGCCAGGACCCTAAACTTAATTTCCTTTAGCTTTTATATTGTTGAGCCATGATATTCCTCTCCTTTTTATTTTTATCACCGTTTTAAACTCAGATTGGTAACAGTAACTAACACTTATGGAGTGCTGTGTGCCAGGCACTTTGAGTGCTTTACATGTATGTATTTGCCTAATTCTCAGCTTCCCATGAGGTAAGTCCTGTCTACATTTTATATTTGAGGACACAAGCACAGGATTGGAGGAGGTACTTAAGGTCTCTTGGTTTCTTTAATGAGAACTTCCCTTTTCAAAATAATTCATTGTATCTTAAACAAATATCAAATGGTATGGGAGCCGAGGAGGCGTTAGGATCCAAAATGATATGTGGTGGGAGGGTTTTCATAAATAAGTTATCCACTCAGCTGATTGGCCGTTAGTGGAGTCCACACTTAGGACCAAATAATAGAGTTTGTTTTCTTCAGCCTATTGGAGATGAGTTGGTGAAAATGAAGCCCCAAAAGATGTATGGTTGTGTTCATGTTCCCACAACCAGGATTGGAACCTGGGCCAAATGGTACTGTCACATATTTAAAAAACTTGTAGTGGCACTCGCCATTAAAACAAAGCAATTATTTTATATACTGCATTTGTCAGCCAACCTTTACCTAGTTATCACCAAGTACCTCATCTGTGTTGATAAAGTCAGCCAGTTTTACTACTAAAAACAGTTAAAAATTAAAATTGTTTTTTAATCAGCTGAAAAATGTTGATTACACTTGTTGGTATTGGATTAAGATATCCATATCTTAATATTCAGGAGCAGAATGCATTAAAAATTGCATTCTGCTAGGTATAAAATTTGATCAAGTTATTTTTGCTTATGGTTGTGACTTTACAATTTTGATATATTTCCATGTACCCAGGTTTATATAGGTTATAATATACTAATGTTTTCACTGAAAGGGTTTTCTCTCCCCCCACCCCATGAATAGTACTTTTATATTTCATAGCCTGATAATGTCATTGATGGAGTAGAATGTCTAGGTAGAAAAATGTAGCCTTTCTCAACATTGCCATATTAAGTCTACAGTGTTACTGATTTCAGAGAAGTAGAATAGTTTGAATAACGATTGGAAACAATTTCTGTGGGATGCCAAGCAGTCATCCATTGGTTCTCTGCCAGTGGACAGTGACACAGATCTTAAGTGGTGATAAAGTGCATTAGATATTTAGGACTGGAAGAAAGGGGGAAGGTAGGTATTTTTAGAAACTGCTTTCAGCAGTTGCTAAGTAAATACTAATTGCAAAACTGGTTTGCACTGTGCTAACATGTGACTCCATTGAGTGTAATGTTTTAGTCTACATTTAGACACAAAAAACTAATAAGCCTCTAGATTCTGTGTGTCTACCAAAAATGTGAAAGTAAATGGGCAGTTTTTAATATCCTTAACCACTCTGCCCCCTTGCCAACTGGTGAAAAATGTGTAAGTTATTGCTTCTTTATCTTGAATTTTTTGTGGTGGCATTTTTTATCCTATGTACAAAAGTACAAGTTGTGCACAAATAGTAACTGATTAATTTTACAAATAGATAGCAGTTTAGCATTTGTTGAGTCTTAAGTGCCAGGCACTGTGCTGCTCCCTGGGAATTCAGGCGTGATAGTTCATGAGACTGCAATATGGGATGTTACTAAGATGAGTGCATTACCAGTGGAGCAGATGGAGATCATAGAAGATAATCTTGGAATTGCATCTTGAACGATGAGTAAGATTTTACTAGGCTGACTGTCCTCACCTTGGAGAAACTAATCTTGGAGGAATGGTAGCAAAACACCCACATGAATAATTTAGTCCAGCCGAGTACCCACTCCTTGTGCATAAAGCCAAATGAGTGATACGGGCGGTTGAGTGCCAGAGGTTAACATCTACCTGATGAGATTACCCTGAGTAATATGTAAGTCATACGTAAGTTTAGAATAAGTCCCATCCAGCCATTTCTATTCGGAGACAGTTTTATTGATTTACAAGCCAGGAGATCTGAATGATAATGAGACACGTAGGGGCAGAGGAAAATGATAAGGTGTGGGAAAATCCAAGCAACAAGCATAAAGTAAGCTTTGGGGAAATGTGTTGGAGAGGATGGTTTTCAGAGCAGACAGCAGTTCCAACAATATAATACTTTAATCCTTTTGCACCAAGACCATCCTCAGATTGGTGAGGACTCCTAGGTTTCAATTACATATTGAAACAAGTCTGTTAGGATTTTAAGGCTGATAATCTGCCCCTATGGGCTAAATATAAAGTCTTTTTAAATGCCACTTGTCTACAATTTCTGCCTTTAGAGGAAAATGCTACATTTTTAATGACATCAGGAAATTTCCAGACATTCATTTTCCTCTGCATTGTCACCAAAAGATCCTGATAATGGTGTTTTGCTACTTGAAAAATCTGGAGATAGCCAATCCTGTCCTTTTTTGTTTTCAGATTCTATATGTGGAATAATAAGGCTAAAATGGATAAACAAAATAGCAATGAATGGAAAGTAAACAAAGATCATTGAATCTTGAAGCTCTGATATTCCTTTGAAATAATATCCTGTTCAAGGCCACAGCTGGTTAGTGGCAGAGCTAGGAAAACCCAACTGGAGCCCTTTTGTCAATACTAGGCACAGCGCAGTGATTCTTGCAAGTGTAGTTCCAGGACCAGCAGTAGCTGGGGACTTAGAAAAAAAAAAAAAAAAGCGTATTCTAATGACCTGCCCCAGACCTGCGGATGGAATGGAGCCCAGCAATCTTTGAGAAGACCCCTTCAAGTGATTCTCATGAACACTGAAGTTTGAGAAATGAGAAAATGGGTGGCACAGTGAACTGGGAAGGGACCTGAGTGTAAGATCTATGATTTCAGTTTCCTTGTCTGCAAAATGGAATAATCACAAGGTTGCCACCTGCCTGGCGGTTGTGCCATTTGGTA